TGCTGTGTGCTTGGCACAGTAGACAGTATCTTCATTTACCTGTGACACATTTCCACTGTGACGTCTACCACCACTTCGTGCATACAGCTTCCAAGCCTGAAGCCAGCTTGTGTATGGTCCCCAGACTTCACCACACACAACCTGGCTGTCTGCAGACTCCCCAGAGGGGGAAGAAAAGAGGAAGCAGTTATAGGAGAATATTCCCCAATGATGAGTTGCACAATACCAGTGGTTACTCGCCTGCCTGAATGGCTACCCCTGAGCTTTTGAAAGCTTTGGTTTTCAATTTACTAATGCTCAAGGATTTATTTTTACTTCTCATTAGTTCAGCAGGGGTGGAAAAAAGAACCAGCAACAGGGAATTTCTCTTGACTGAAAGTTTACCAATTGTTTACAGTGTAATGGTATTCAGGGAAGTTAAGTCAGGTCATTGTTGATAGCCATAAAGAGTCATTTCTAGGCAGGCGGGGCGGCGCAGGCCTTTGATCCCAACACTCAAGAGTCAGAGGCACTCTGAGTTTGAGGCCAGCCTGATCTACACAGAGAGCTTCAGGACAGCCTGGGCTACACAGAGAAACCCTACACAGAAAACAGCAACAAAAAAGGAGGCATTTCTAAAGTACTGCTAGTTATACTTTTAGGAGGAACCCAGAGACAAATAGCAGAGCTAATACATAGGGTGACAACCCGTACCCAGTGATAACCACCATTGCATAAAGTCCCAAGACTTGAATCAGCTAAGATGACACACACAGAAACAGAATTTCCCAGCACTGCTTCTGTCCAAACATAGACGTCTACCAACAGGATGAAGATCTTTTTTTCTCCAGAACCACAGAAAAGCGCGTTTGAATTCCACCCTTGCTATTACTTGTACTTATCATTACCTTACCATTACCTCGCTCGGCCATTGGCCTTAGGCAAGTTGCTTACCCCGTCTGCTTCAACTTCCTCTCATCAAAAGTGATTCTAAAACTCATACCCTTGGGATCACTGTAAAATTCAATGAGGTAATACATACGGACTTCTTGGTACCAAATAGGTGCACGAAGGTAGCATCTGGGCTGGCAGATACCTAAGCAGGAAGAGATGGTTGCCAGCAAGTCCAGGAACCTGAGTTCTATCCAGGCAAGAGGTCAGCTGTCCTCTGACCTCCACATGTGCTTCCCCGTCCCCCAACACTAAATAAATAAATAAATGTTTTTAAACCTTGGTAACATTCTTCTTGTGTGGAACACGGGATAATTAGCCTTGCATAACCACAGTTTAATTTACAATCATGTTTTCACTATAAATTCTTACACGCGTAAATCACCAGTTCTACGTAATCACTGCCATCTATTGCAAGCTTCCTTTTATTTATTTGTTTGTTTGTTTGTTTGTTTATTTATTTGTATGTGTTGTATACATTCATGCTTTTGTGTGCCTGTGCACGTGTGGAAGCCAAAGGACAATGTTGGATGTCTTTCTCAGTTGCTGCCCACCTTTTGTTTTTGAGATAGGTTCTCTCCCTGAACCTGGGGCTCACCAATTCAGCTGACTGACTAGCCAGTGAGCCCCTAGAATCCCCCCACCTTCATGTCTCCAGCACTGGGATTACCGATGCCTGCTGCTCGGCCTGGCCTTTTAACACACGGCTGGGGATCCGAACTCAGGTTCTCATGCTTTGGAGCCAAGCACTTCACAAACTGAGGCTCGCCTTGGTCGATAGCACTACGAAGAGTGAGATCTTTTGGAACACTCCCCCCAAAATTTTGAAGTGTGAGTTGATAAATTGGTAACAGTGATCATTAAACAAGTTCACTTTGTATGAGAATTCATTCTACATCTTCTTGCTGTGGGATGTCCTGTATGCTGTAAAAATATGTTGCTATGATTGATTGATAAATAAATGCTGATTGGCCAGTAGCCAGGCAAGAAGTATCGGCTGGACTAGCAGAGAGGAGAATTGGAGGAACAGGAAGGCAGAGTGGGAGAGACGCCAGCCTGCCATCCAGGGAGCAACATGTAAAGGCAACAGGTAAAGCCACGAAATGCATGGCAACATATAGATTAACAGAAATGGGCTGAGTTAAGTGTAAGAGCTAGTCAGTGGTAGGCCTGAGCTAATGGCCCAGCAGTTTAATTGATAGAAGTTTCTGAGTGATTATTTTATAAGTGGTTGCAGGGTCCGTGGTGCTGGGCAGGACTGGAGAAAACTCCAGCTACATCTTCTCTTTTATGTGTATATAAAAATGGAGAGCTGGGGCTGGGAAAATGGTTCAGTCAACAAAATCCCTCTGCTCAATCACGAGGACCTAAGTTTGGACACTCAGAACCCACATAGAAAGCCAGGCGCAGTGTGTGCCTCTAATTCTAGAACTTGGGAAGCAGGAACAGGTGGGTCCCCAGCACTCACCTACCAGTCTGCCTAGCCCATTCAGTGAGCTCCAACTTCAGTTATTTCAAAAATTAGGTAGAGGACAACCAAGGGAGACCCCGCACATCAACCTCTGGCGTCTACATATACATATACTCTGCCCACGTGCACACAGGAGCACATGCATGAACATATACACACATACACCACACACAAAAATTAAAAATCAATAAAAAGCAAAGCCAATTTTTACAAAATCCAGAAATGCAGTCAGGAAGAGTGGGAGGTCATTCACTCACTTAATAAGTAGTATTTTCTTAGCACCTACAATGCATTCACTGTCCAAAGGTCTTGGTGTTGAGACAGGCAGAGGAGAGCGAAACTATCATGAAGCCAGTGGTTGAGACAGGATCTTACTAGAAAGGGAGTCATCAATGTGAAATAAAGGAAGAAGAATCTGGTTCCCTGTGTCTGCATTTCCAACCCTAAGCGAAAAGGAAGAAGATATATAAAAACTCACGGAGTGACGGTATTCCAAGAGAAAATGCAGCGCTGTACCGAGTAGGCAAACCCCACAATCTTCAGGCCAGGATTCTTTTCCATATGGGATCAATTTGTTAAACAGCCATAAGAACAGGCCTAGAGGCTCAGTATCAGAGGACACGGGAAACCTGAAACCCCCACGCAGGCCATAAATTACAGATTCAGACCCAGAAACTGCTTGAGAGGATTTAGCATCCTGAGCCCAGTTCTCCGCAGACCTCAAACCCTGGACTCAGTTCCATCCTCACTGTGATGTGAACACTTCACTGAGGCCGTTTCTTCTTCTAGGAAATAAAAAGACAATGGCATAGATCAGGGTTAGCTGTCTTCTGTGGTAACTCGAAAATCTCAATCTCCTGGCACAAGAAAACGGACTTTTGTTCCCATCATGGTCCAATGTTGGTTGATGAGATGGATTTGTTCTCCCTCCTCAGTTAGGGACTCCGGCTTTGCAGTTTTGTGGTCCCATCATCTTCTACATCCCTGTCCTCTTCCACACGCAGTGGTGGATGAGGAGGAGAAAAAAATGTGTGGAGAACGGTATGCTTTCTAGACTAGGCCTCGAGGGGATCCCTTCTGTCCTTTTTCCAATGGTTAGAACCCAGTCACATGGCTGAACTGGGTGTAGAAAGCTTAGGATGTGGTCGGACTGTGTGTCCTGGGAGAAGAAGCCGCTTGGGAACATGGGAGATTTCACCACAGCCCTAACTCCAGAAGGTGGTTTGGAGGGTGAAGTGAGGTAATAGCTGTAAGAACTCAAATGAAACCCTGGATCAGGCTGGAGAGATGGCTCAGAGGTTAAGAGCACCGACTGTTCTTCCAGAGGTCCTGAGTTCAATTCTCAGCACCCACATGGTGACTCACAACCATCTGTAATGAAATCTGGCACCCTCTTCTGTATACATAATAAATAAATAAATCTTAAAAAAAATAAAAGGAAAGCCTGGATCAATAAACACTCTGGGGTTTTGAGGTCGAGGCCTGTCTTCTCCTCCCAGCTCATCCTCTGCGGCAGAGCAGGCCTACCCATCTTCATGCTCTCTGTAGGAATAAATGTAAACGAGAAGCTATGAAGCTGCTCCAGCCCTTTGCAGTCTCTGTGGGTATCCCCATCTCAAGTCATTTCAGATGTTTTCATGTGGATGAGAGACGTGATGAAGGAGAGGCCATCTTTCATGGCATACTCCCAAATACTAATGTTTCTCTGGGGGCTGCCATTGCCTGGCACAAAATCACTTGCCAGTAAGGCATTCCTTAACTGTATACCTTCAGTACTCAGAGAAGCTGAGATTCGTCAGCTAGACCTATCTAGCTCTGTCCTCCCAGACGCCGAGAAAGGATTTCCTCTTAGCAGTGTCAATAAGATCATTCTAACACCCACTTGAAACCCTCCACCATGTTTCCATTAATGTGGAATAAAATCCAAATGATTTTTGCAGGATTGGTATTCCTTACCAGCCTTCCAGGATCAGCCTGTCTTCAATTTCATTTCTCCAGTCCTCTAGTTCATCCTTTCATCCATCCACCCACCATCCATCCATTCATCCCACAGCTATGCACACAGTTTCTGTTCTAGGCACTGGGACCTCAACAGTCACACAATGTCCAGGACTTGGTGGGGGCTGTGTTCTCGCATGACTACTGTCACAGATGCTGTCCTTGAGCACACCCTCAGCTTGTTGCTGGCATTCTTCTTCCTTCAATCCTTCTCACAGAAGCCTGTGTAGAACAGGCCTTGCTCCCCCGGTAATGCTGTGTGCACCCTGGCCATCAGGAAGAGCCCCTGGTTCCTCCATGAGCATTCATTGTCTGTCTTCCTTTATTCTACCGCAGCCCAGCTCCCATAAGGGCAGGGTTTTGTTTCTCATACTCATTTTTGCAATCTCAATAAATATTAACTCGGCAAAAAAGTTAATCATCAGCCATCTCTTGAACAAATGGTTTAATAAATGAATGAATGGACAAGCAGCATCGGTCGGTGCATGGGTGATGGCCGGCTGGCATGGGTGATGGCCCTGCTGGCATGGGGAAGAATGTGGTCTTGTGTCCCCTTAGGAGCCGGTGTTCACTTCTGTCCCCTCTGATCATCATGTTGCAGGGGATGACACCGCTCCATTGGGCTGCTTTCCACAACCGGCCTCAACATACCCAGATGCTGTTGAAGAAAGGGGCAGATCCCACCCTCTTGGACAAGGACTTTAAAACAGCTCTCCACTGGGCAGCCCAGGTGAGAAAGCAGGCTGTGAGCAGAGCTCGAGTGTAAGTGATGGGAAGCTGTGCTATTCCTGATTTCCTGATTTCCTGAGCAGGTCCACCGACGAAATGGGAACTACCACCCGCGCCAGTCCTGATATTTATTTGAAATGTATCTGATAGAGCAAGGAGGGTGATCTCCAAGGCACTAGCAAGTCTGCCACTTAGACAGACAGGCAGACAGACAGGCAGACAGACAGACACACACACACACACACACACACACACACACACACACACACACACACACCCTTATTGCTCTCTCTTCACACTCAATGCTTCCTACTGACTTAGAGAAACCCTCGGAGGATTACTGGGCAGTTCCCTTCCACACCTTTGGACCAGAGCTCACTGACTTTCCTCCATCCCAGTCCTCCACAGCCACGCCACTGTAGATGATCCTGACTTTTGTACAGAACAGTGAAGACAGTGACTCACCCTCCTGCATCCCTGTCACAGGAGTTGAGCCCCATGAGTCCACGCAGCCAAAGACAGCAGAAAAGGAAGGCCTGTGAATTCTAGGGCGCAAGGAGAGTCAGACAGACAGAGAGAAAAGAGTGGAGACAGCTAACAGCTCTGAAGTCTGTCCTCTTGCCAAGGGGACGGCTCACTAACAATGTAGTGGAATTGCCCAGTCCCTCCTTCAAGGAGAGCAGGTGTGTGCTGCCCTTCAACAAGTTGGCTCTCCATGCCGATGCCCAGATCCCCACCCTTCCCTGCCGTTGGCCGGCCAGGGGAGCCTTTCAGAACCGCTGCCAACCTCGTTGTGAAAGTCATCTCCGCTACCCAGCGATGGTTTCACTCAGTGTTTTTGTGTGGCAGAGGCAGCACCTGGGACTTTCAGGGCTCACAGATGTGCCTGAGGTAAGGGGGAAACAGAAGCGACTTGGAAACTGCTCTGTGTTTGTGTCTCTCAACTCGGCTTCAGTTAGAGGGCACCAGAGCGAGCCCTGGGCAGAATTACAAAGTGAACCCGACTTGTTTTTGTCGTCCTCACCTGCTGTGGCATCCTCCTACACACTTTCATTATCTAATCATAGCCCTCCCCCTCCCTGCAGGCTCTGTTTGGGGCGCTTGGTGATTGCTTCTGGCTAGTTAGGGACTACAGTAGCAACGGCCCCCCAAAGAATCCGGTTCAGCGCCAAAGCAACACCCTGGGCATGTCGGTTCTGAGCTTAGATGAAAACGGTATCTGAATCAAGCATTTCCTACATATCCCCCCTCAATACCCTCACACTCTGATTCCTGCTTCTGGGCTGTGTGTCCTCTGGAACCCCCTCCATGTATCATGTGTTCCCCCTTCCTCCGTCCCAGCCACAATTTAGCCCCTAAATTAGCTCTTGCAATGGAATGACTCCCCAGCAGGCCTTGCCCAATGGCAGACTCCTGAACTCCACCCCAGACCCTCTGGACATGAAATCGCTGTCCCTACCCTGTAGGGGGCAGTTTGGCGAAGACAGAGCAACAACACACTCTGAATTTCCATGACAACCCTGGATTTGATCTACGGAGATACCCCCACATCTGTGGAGTTTAACTCCAAATATATTGGGAGAGGGAAGCTATGAATGAAACTGCATATGACAGCTATGGGATGTGATGGAACTGGAAGAGACAGTGACTTTGTTATGTTCTCTGACTTTCACAGAGACTTGATTGACGAACTGAGTATTCCACTCTCTAAAATTTAGAGTCTAAATGACTGTGCTGTAAACGATATTGCTCCCAGCCTGCCACACTATGAGACTCATCTAAAGAGCTTTTAAGTGTAGTAGAATATTTTAAAGTGTGTTACTTTTGTTTATGTTACATTTGTCTAACTCTGTGAAGCTGTGTTACTGTGCCTGCCTAAAACACCTGATGGTCTAATAAAGAACTGGCCAGTAGCAAGGCAGGAGAAAGGATAGGCAGGGCTGACAGTCAGAGAGAATATATAGAGGGAGAAATCTGGAAAGGGAGATCTAGGCACGAGAGAAGGGGAGGACATCAGGGCCCAGCCACCCAGCTACATAACCAGCAAGCCACGGAGTAAGAGTAAGATTTACAGAAGGAAGAGAACAGGAAAAGCCCAGAGGCAAAAGATAGACGGGATAAGTTAAGGAAAGCTGACGAGAAATAAGCCAAGCTAAGGCCAGGCATTCATAATTAAGAATAAGCCTCAGTGAGTGAATTTATTTGGGAGCTGGGTGACAGGCCCCCCAAAAGAGTACAAAAAAACAAAAAACCCAACAACATTTAAGTAATACGGACTCTTAGGCCCAACTCTTAGATTGTTTTCCTTCACTTGTTCTAAGGTGGAGCCCAGGCATGAATATTTATAAGACTCCTTCCTTCTCCCAGAAAAGTAAAATGCACTGCTAGGATTAAGAGCTGCTGTCGTGGAAGAACTCATGCTAATGGATGCCAATATCTCATCTACTCTTATCTTCAGTTTTTGCCTTTCACCACAATTGTACACATGAATGAAATGCCTCATATGTATGCCCCATCGTGACTCAATAAACTTTCTGGAACACCTACTACATATCTGGCTCTGGCACTGGAAGTAAAGTGAATGACATAAAGGTCCCTTTAATACCCTACAGTGCTATCCAATATTCTATGGGCAGGTGGTATGCACTTGCATTCATATCTCTAAGGAAAGAGTCCACAGCTTTCTTCAATTACTCGATGACAGATCAACATATAAAGAGTCCTGGCTCCGGAGGACCTGTGTTCCCTCTCCCTTCCACGTGGTTAGTATTGATAGTCAAATCCCCAGGCTGTGTATTCTGCCCTTGCTCTGCAAATACCAGGAGTAACCGTGGAAATCATCACCTCGCTGGTCTGTAGTGGCTCCTTGCTACACAGGTCCAGCACTGCACTCCCTTTCAAGTGTTTCCGCACGAATGAGTCTACTTCCCATTGTCATGTATTCCTTTGCTCAACTTCCTGCTTTCCTCTTGACCTGTACAGTGAGATCACATTTAAAGCTACAACGCTTGGAAATAATTAAGCCTTTGTATTCGACCCAAACAACCAAAGCAGTCAAGATTTGAAACACCAGGCCCAGAAACTAGCTTCAACTTCTGTTCCTATTTTATAGGTCCCTTATTAGCTAGGGATGCTCTACAATGGCCATCACCCTCTTTCCTATTCTCCTGTCTGTCTAGAAGACACCTCCGTGTGGCTATAGCTGGGATAACAGAAGCATGATACTTGCTGTCTGTGACAATCTTACTAAGTGTCACTCCAGACCCGCAGGGCCATGCTCTCACCTCCCTGTGATGATGTAAGCTGATCAGGCATCTCTGCCTCATCTCCCTCTACAGTCAAGCAAAGGGTGACACCCCCTGATCTAATCACCTCTTAAATGGCCCGCTGGTCAGTACCATGGCATTAATGGTGGAAGGTTAGGGGGTGGTATCAGTTGGTAAAGTGGTTGCTGTGGAAGCCCGAGGACCTGAGTTGGAACCCCCAGCATCACAGAGTAGAGTGAGACGGAGTGAAACCTCTGAAAAATGTGAGCCCAAATAGGTCCTTCCTCCAGGTTGTTTCTCTTATGTATTTGTCACAAAGGCAGACTTGACTCACACAACATATAGGAGTCTATTTCCAGGGTATCTGCTCTTTTCTGGAGATCTGTTTCTTCTGTTCCCTTGCCAATACCATACTGCCTTGACAATTGTAGATAACAGGAAGTCTTTAAGTGGGCTATCAGTCCTCCAACTTTACTCTTATTCCTCAATGTTCTGTTGTCTTTCCTGGATGTTTTGCTTCTCCGTGTAAACCTCAGAGTCAATTGATCAGTATTTATACATTGAATCTGAAGATCATTTTACACACCAATCAATGATTCCCCCTTCCCTCCTTCCGCCACCCCCAGCCTCCCCTCCCAACCCATCCCCCACTCTCCCCCACAAGAAGGCAAGACCTCTCATGAGGAGGCACATCCAGTAGAGGCAAGTCCAAGACCCTCCCCCTGCCTCAAGGCTGCATGAGGTGTCCCATCAATAGGTAGTAGGGTCCAAAAAGTCCCCTCATGCACCAGGGATGGATTCTAATCCTACCACAAGGGGGGCCCCCAAGAAGATCAAGCTACACAACTGTCTCGCCATGCAGAGGGCCCAGCCCAGTCCCATGCAGGCTCCACAGCCATTGATCCAACTTTCATGAGTTGCCCCTAGTTTGGTTGGCCATCTCTGTAGGTTTCCTCATTATGATCTTGATGCACTTGCTCACAGAATTCCACTTCTCTCTCCCCGACTGGACTCCTGGAGCTCTGCCTGGTTCCTGGCTGTGGATCTCTGCATCTGCTTCTATCATTCACTGGAGAAAAGCTCTGTGATGACAGTTAGGGTATTCACTGATCTGATCTCTGGGGCAAGCCAGTTCAGTTCAGTCACATTCTCCACTATTTCTAGTAGTCCAAGTTGGGGTCATCCCTGGGGATTCCTGGGAACTTTCCTAGCACCTGGATTCTCTCTATCCCCATGATGTCTCCCTCTATCATAGTATCTATTCCACTGCTTTCCCACTCCATCCCTATTCCAGCTTGACCATCCCATCCCCTTATGGTCTCACCCCCATCCCCTACCCTCCATTGTCCCCCCTCACCCCAAGTTCACTCATGGAGATCTGATCTATTTCCCCTTCCCAGAGTGAGTCACACATCCCACTTTGGGTCTTTCTTGTTAGCTAGCTTCTCTGGAGTTGTGAATTGTAATCTGGTTATCCTTTGCTTTATATCTAGTATCCACTTATGAGTGAGTACATACTATGTTTGTCCTTCTGAGTCTGGGTTACCTCACTCAGGATGATATTTTCTAGTTCCATCCATTTGCAAATGTCATGATGTCATTGTTTTTCTCTGCTGAGTAATACTCCCTTGTGTATATGTACCACATTTCCTTAATGGAAAAAGGGTCTTGACAACACTTAGTTTTTCCCAACCATGGCCATAGAGTAACTTTCTATTTGTTTAGTTTAAGTATC